ATTATGATTAATCACCAAGTCTAATGATACAGGCATCTACATAATAAATCTTATTTTAAATAGCCTTATGCTGATATGCAAAGATATCATAGGACATAATCACACAGCATGTCAGATGAACTGTAGTGCCACCACCTAGGACAGTGACATACTCCTTCTTCAAGTACGTGGCAAACCAGGGTCAAAGAATACTTAATTAGAAACCAGAAAGCAGAGTTTTGATTGCTTCCTTACTCACTAGTGTTACTACTTCTATGTCCCCAGCCTTTCTTAAAATTTGTGAGTATACAAAAATCTTCAGAAATCAGTGGAACATTAGAAAAATGTAAACTTCACAGTTTGCCACTTTGATCAGACTGAATGTACCACATCTGTGCATTTCCACAAGTCCTTAATACTGCCCTCTCAGGAACTGTAGCCCACTTGATGTTTCAAAAAAGATAAAATGTTATTAGCTTTTTAAAAAATAATTTTAGACTAAAATACCATACCAGCAATGGTAGAACAGGCACTGGGCAAACACTTGTATTAGTAGTTATCTAGACAGAATTTTCCTTCAGTTATAAAATAATTAAAGTTTAGACTTTAATGCAGACCCATTCCCTATGGGTTTGCTAAAGTAACATTCTTCTCTGTCCTTATTAGTATCTGAGTTATAAAAAAAAAAAAAGCCACAGCAGTTTTATCAGGGATTTAAACAGTACTTTCAGGCACTGTTTCTGTTTTTTGAATCAATACAACAGCTAATCTCGCTATTTTTCTTCCCTATTCACCCACCTTGTTTCATTCTGATTAAGTCCAGCTAAGACGCAGCTTGTGAAGCTGGACAATTGGGTACCCAGGACGCAAAGGTTTTTGTTATTCTAATTCTATTAGACTTACATAAGCCTCTGAGGAGTCCTCTTCCAATCGAGATGCCAGGAGCTTGCATTAGAAAACTGTTTGCCTGACCACTGACCAAATCAGAGACAATTCAGCTCTGTGAGAAGGACTGATTTTGATAAAAAGCCAGATGCATTTATTTTTCTGAATTTGCAAGTGGAATTAGTGGGGGGGGGGGGGGGGGGAGGGGAGATACAGAAATATAATACAAAGTAAAAGAAAAAAAATTCTTATGAGGAGAGGTGTAAAACTGTGGGCTGACAACAGGAGAAGGATGATAGAAATATACACGGAAGAAAACCAAGGAATATTAAGGTGAGGCGCTGTGTGTAAGAAATTAATTTTAGCATGCAGAATTGCAAAAAGCTAAAGGAAAACCATACCATAATGAAGTATAAAAATTATTTCCTCCCTGTTTTTCCTTTAACTGAAAATTAATCTCTCCCTGTCTGTCATACAATTAATTCCTTTTTGAGAGTAATGATAAATATGGGGGGAAAAAAATACCATTTTTTTTAAAAAGTCTATTTTCTGTACACCATTTCTGTCAATAACTTTGTTCCTGGCTTTTGTGAGTATGCACTAATTCTGATGCATCCATTAATTCTCCTTTTCCTTATGAATCAAAACACCCAAAACACAACACTAAGTCATGAAGACTTGCTTAGAATGCTTAGATTTGCCAAGACAGAAGCTCTGAAATACAGTATGATGGAAAGATCACATATTTAATCACATAAATATAAAATATACAAATATTCTATATAGTCATATAAAAAAATTGCAGTAATTAACAATAACAGTATATAATAAAACACAGGAAAATATTATTTCCCACTTCCTTAAATATTTTTACAGATATTTAAAAGCCATCTTGTCTACTGTGAAATATTTGAATTCTAAGGAAAAGTTCCATTTACATTATTTTTTTATACATATCTTAAATTTCACAAAGCATGCTCTTTTCTCTATTTCTCTACATCCATGTCCAAGACAGCAAAAACCAGTGAAACGGGTTGAATTTCCATTAAATTTCAGAAATCCGGCTCTACAATTTCTAATAAAAGGTGAAGATTTCTCAGTTCTTAAAAGTAGCACCTAAATGAATGGCAGATAGCAAAATATGAAGCAAAATAGATCTAGAGGATGGTACTGAAAGGTATTTTATAGAGAAAGCCTTATATGCTTGGGAATAATCTCTACTGCTCAATGTCCAACCCACAACAGTAGCACTAGTGATCACTGATGCCTTTGCCAGTCCTCACTGCAGCATTCAGAACTGGATGGGACAGGAAGGGCTAATTACACATGGCTGCAAATCCTGTCCTCAGCATTCCTCAGGTTCAATGAACCTGTCAGTGAAAGGAAGGCTGGAAACAAATGCATCCCACAAATTCTGTCCCACAAAACTGGTGGGACAACAAAATATTACTCCAAGTAGATACAGAACTTTCTTTTTCAATATTTCCATTTACATATCCCACCTAAGAAGAAAAGTTACTCTAAAACAAAAACATTTTCCCCCCTCCTATGTGTTTGAGGTGACTACAGAAAGAAGGCAAAGAAGTTATTTCTATTTTTGTAGCAAATGAACTAGCTTGACGAATGGCCGTGTGTATCAAAGATTCACTACAAATACCTGAGAAAGAAAAAGTATAGAAAGAAAGAATAAATCAGTAAGACAATGTGATAGTTTATGACTGCTATAGACTTGACTTTCAGGTTATAGTTTTCTATTAATATTTTGAATCATATAGCACAGGGATGAAATTATTTTCTTGAACCACTTGAAAATTAAAGCATTTATCTTTTTGGAATTTATCTTGTGTAGCTGTAAATGTAAAACTTTAGAATTATCAAAAAGAGTGCTAGAGAATTACCAGCTATTTCAGCCTGATTTCAAATTCTGGTTTTGAGCTCTATATACTAGGAATTTACATACTGTAAAAAAGGCAGTTTTCATGTTACACTTAATTGGCCTTTATATAAAATGTCAGCATTTCAAAGTTTTTATTTGGTTCTAAATATAATAGGAAAAATAAAATATTGACATGAAGCCATAGTTTAGCGGATTTTTGTCATTAGAGTTGGTGAACAGAAGCCCACAGGGACTGAAGACAACACTTTCAGAAAGGAACATCTGGGGGAAATCTTGCAAGGGACACAGAAAAATAGATCAGTGCCTTAAAATTTAGTTTTCAGAGTCTTTAGTGAGAAAACTTAAGGAAAATAAGGAGATAACAATGTTTTCCAGGAAAGGCCAATCCAGGAAAGGCTCCTCAACCATTATCAGAGCTTGTCTTCCTGTCCTGTCTCCATCAGGAAATTCTATTTAGGGTACCCTAAAATGTAGGAGTAAAATGTATCAAAATCAAAATTAACCCAAAATGTGATATTAAGAGTGGTGGGTTGCTGCTTGGGGTGGGTTCTTTTCTGTAATGCTTTCATTTTAGTGGGTGTCTGGGGGTTTGGGTGTGTGTTTGGTTTGTGGTCTCTCCCCACACAAACACACTTTTTTTTTACTAAGTGATCAAAGAGTGATGATTGATAGATATACAGATTTGATACATTTTCTGAAATGCAGTCAGCCCCATAGTGATTCAATCCAGAAGTAATCTGAGACTAGGTAAAGTAGAATTTTGATTCTTTTTCTATGAAAGCTTATACATGAAGCATTTAATTTAAATACCATTGAGTCCCAACCAAACATATATACTTATATGCACAGACACCATATATTGCAGCCACATGATATTTTACTGTGACTCTTGCAACTACAATTTGCGTACAACTTATTAGAACTACCAGCAATGCCTGCAGTTAAAATCTGCTGTTTATCATGCTTCCCACTGAAGTAGGAAGTATATGCAAGTTGGTGGGTTTTGACTGAGGCTTATTTTTATTTCAGTAAACCAACCAGAAATGAACACACCTTTCACTTCAGTGAGTGGCCTCACACTATTTGCCAAGTGATGCAAGCTTTTTGACCATTTCAAGAGCAAATCATGTTCCAGATTTCCATGGACAAGTTTTGCAACCAGTACTAATGTTTCTAACTTCTAAAAGCTATTTCAAATTAGGTTTTGTGTGATATTAAACAATTTAGATAAATATTTACTATGGCAGGAATAAAACATGGGTTTGTGCTACATAAGCAGACCTCTCTCTCACTGATATACCTACATATGTATACATGTGGTATGTATATATGAGTACCACTACATGGTTTTTTTTGCTCCTAATTCTTAGCAGAGATTCACAAACTCACTTGTGTCCCCTAGTGCCAGATTCTATGTTTACATGGCATGTGGAATACAGCAGGCAGACAGAAAAGCTCCCCTGCCTTTGCCCTCTCTGAGGAGGCTGCCATGAGTTGTCACTCTAGCAAATACCAACACAGTTCATGAAATACATTTTACTCTGTAAAACTTGGGATAATTACACTTAATTTTAAGAGGAATACTGTTTATATGAGGAACTAAACTACACTACTTAAGGATGTCCATAACCTAGACATCACTGCTCTACTGCTTATGCAAAATGCCACCAGTTTCTCTAGTGACATTAATAAATGTTGATACAGAAGGTTCCTCTATAGCTTAGGGGTAGCACATGTTTTGAAAAAGCAGCATAACTGATTTTTTTGGGGGAAAAAGCATGACATACATGCTGGCACTGATTAAGCCCCATCTGTGCCTGAAGCAGAATTAAATAAGTGCCTCTCAAGTGTTCTCAGTCAGCTCTATGCCCTTGAACAGACATCCTGCCAATACTTGATATAAAAATGAAGAAAACTCTGGTGTATGAAAATGCTTTCAATTGAAAACACTTTCTTTCTCCTTCATTTAATGGCCTAACAGTATTTGGTGGAAGAATGCTGTAATGTCAGTATTTACAGATATGCCTCTCCTGTTAAGGTTGTGTGTGTCAAAATAAAGGACATATAGTAATGGCAAAAAAAAGTTTTGCACACAAGTATGCATAAAACCCCCAACAACTGATCATTATGTGTATTTCTATTACCCAACAAAATCTCCTGCACTACAACACCATAAAATGATCTCTGCAGAAGACATTAAAGTGTGCAGTCAAAAGCACAGAGATATAGAAGCACTTACATTTGTACTGTGATCACTTCCACTAACACAGACGACATCTTGTTTTTGAATTGTTAATACCTCTTTCATAAGCTTCAGTCGGATGTCATAAGCATTTTCGGATACTTCATCATACAACAATGCAATGCCAGTTTTAGTCTGTGAAAGCAAGGCACAGAAACAAAAATTTAAGAATATGAACACTTCATAATGATGAATAACAACCTATATCCCATGCAATACATAAAATGCATTTAAATAAGCACTGCTTAACAAAGTGGAAAACTGGCCTGCTTTTCAGTCTTCAAATGGATTAGATAAAAGAAGCCTCTTTTGTACAGTAAAATATGGTCTAAATGGTGTTTGAAGTAGACATTAACATATATTAAAAAAAAAAAAAATATTTGTTGCACTGTTCCACAGAGTAATGATGCAATTCAATGATGTCCTGTTTGTTCTTAATTATATCTTATGCAGGATTGTTCCAGACTTAGGGACATTCCTTCCACTGTGTCAGAAAAAGACCTGTACCCTTCCTAAACACTGGCTTTAAGATACAGAGTCCTATTACAGTAGAAAGCTAGTTTGACATTATAAAAAATAGAAATAAGGACAGGTGTTACAGAATTTCGATTTGTTTATGTCAAGATGGACATATATTTCTGAAGTTACATCATACAAATAACTAGTAAACTCTATAGGACAGTCAAGTATTAGGTATAAACAACATTTTCTCTATGAGTAGTAAAAAAGAAATTTTAGTTTAATTTTTGGTTTATTTACTTACATGCAGATTTCCCACTAATATTCAGTCAGATATTTCCTTAAACAAAAAAATGTGGATTTAGGACTGTTTAGAGATATTTGTTAAAATAAGCAGACTAACACAATTCCAGAGCTTTACTACCATTACACAGAAGAGAAAAACACTTGTTCTGAAATGGATTATTATATGTAAAAGTAATACCTTCTTATTAATTTAGAATGCATTTAACAGCATCATCACAAAATTGTACTTTCCTCTATGCAACTGAAAAATAACCAGGTATAATTCAAGGTTTAGCTGTAGCATTTGTTACTTAATGGTAATTTAAAATCAAGTTGTTCATCTATGTTTTATTAAACAGTAGACTGTGTAAAGAACAGTAATGGAATTCAAGAAGAAACATGTCTTGTGCACTAAATGAATGCTTGAAGAGATTTTAAAATTAAATTAAACATGGATCATTACCTTCATAACAAAATTAGGGAGAAAGATCTGTGGTGATTGTCAATAAAACCTTTTGGTCTTTAAAGGCAGGATCTCTTTAAGTTGAAGACACTTCAAATTTGGATGTGGTGTGGCTCTATGCAACAATCAAGTGTCAAAGCCTCCCTTACAGTAGAAATGGAAAGTGGAGCCTAGAGAGCAATTCAATTTACCCTGACATATATACACAGCAGTTGCTCGGCTGAATTGTTCATGTGGTGGTTCTATCCCTGGCTTCAATGCGTCTGTCCCCATGTAGGCGACTGCTGCCACTTAAGACACTTTAGGATATCTAACGACTCCACACATGTAAGGCTGACACAAGGTTTTTAGGATATCCAGGCCCTTCTCCACCAGATTTCCATGATTACAATGGGATACAAACATCAGCCATGAGCCATGACAGCAGACATCCACATGTAGGTATCTTTAGCTTGAAATGGATCTTGCAAAAGGTTTACAGTGTAGAAATCCACACCTAGACACTGTCAAGCCAGTAGTGAGCAACAGATGCCTCTGAAGTATGATTTACTTTATCTCTTATACATCCATCTAAAAGTGAACAAACTGCACCACAACTCTCTACTTTGACTTAAAAATTAAATATAGAAATCAACTCAACTCAGACACAAGTGCTTAACTGTGCAGATAAATCTTGTCCTTAGTGTTTGCTGGGAATGCCTAAAGAAAACAGATCAGTGAGGGTGCAAAGCTTGAATCATTCTCACTTATTTGGAAACCAACATTTCTCCCTTTTCCCAAGGTTTTGAAATTTTTTTAGATTTCCAGAATGCATGGAAATACAATTTTGTGAATGATGACACATTAAAACTGTGCTAAAATCATCTGTTTAAAAGCCGTTCTGCATAACACCAAGTATTGAAAACCACCATTTCTGCATTTTGCTGCTGTTCAGGAATTGTGTATTGCTATACCACCCAGACTGGCAATTGCTGTTACTTTAGCTGACGTAGCAGAGCATGCTTTACAGAAACACTGAGAGAACAGAGCTCTAGAGAGCTGTTCAGACAGCCTAAACCTGGAACTTTTCTCTGGCTAATAATCATTACATATGTTTAGAAGTAACACAATATAAAAATACCTGAATTTTCATTTTTAACAGATGAACAAGTAAGGAATTGAGTATGTAGAGCAACTGATTAAATAGCTTACCATTTTCCATCACTCTACTTAAACTGAAAGTCTCACTGAATCTCATCTAGTCCTATTAAAATCCAATACCTACCTCATGCTCCATCTAACTCCTGACGTGATCCAATTTGCTTTCAGAATCAATAAGATTCATTTAGATTTCTTTCAGCCTTTCAAGTCATCTCTTTTTAGACCATTATAAATGGCTTTGAATCAGTTAGCACAATCCCTTGTTTTCTCTTTGTGTTAAAGAGATGGCATATGTAACTCCAGAGGGTAAATCTCAGTCCACACAAAATGCTTCTTCAAACAAGGAACTTTTAATAAGAATGTAAGTCTCTGCATGTACATGCATATCCAGCATTTTAACTATGCTATGTTGGTCTCGATTTCTCATTTAAAACCTGTCTATATGGTAGCTGTTCTAATAACTGGTATCAGAACTTGAGGACTGAAAAGTGCAAATAACTCACCAGAATGATGTAGTAATGTTGGAGATCTTATACCAGATTTACAGGTGTTTTGTAATAAAAACATGCGGAAAGTGCATAAGAAATTACATCTCAAAAGGATTTAAGAGGAATATAAATTTAAACTTACTTGGGCGGATGAGGAAATTAAAAGTTGATTTTCATATCTCTGACAGTTTTATAGACACTGGCCTCAGAAAGAGGTGTGTGTGGTGTGCATATGCATGTCCACATATGTGGTGGGAGGAAGAAAGAAGGAGATCAATATCACAAACATCACAGGAGCTGTGGTTTTTAAGAAAGCTTAGTCACTGCAGCTTTTGAAAGAAAAAGAAAAAAAACACTGAAGCCTACTTTCTCAAGCAAACTCAAAAACTGTCAATACCACAAAGAAGAAAAAAATCACTCTCAAGAGGGATCCAGAATTGCAGATGAATCCTTTAATCAGTTTTATTGTTGTCTACTTAAGGCAGGTCCTTAGCCAGTGTACTTGCTTTAAAGTGGTCTCTGTTCAGCATAAAGTTTTGGGACCCTACTCAAAGTACTAGAACTCTTTCAGCGCACTGTGTCTGCAACCTAAAGCTCACAGTTCCAAATTCTGTTTCAAAGTAGGCACCTCTAAGCCAAACTTCCATCTTACTGGCATAAAACACTTGCCATCACTGCTGTAAGTTTTATTTTGAAAAAGCATGCAAAAAGATGAAGCAGACTTTAAAAGTACTGTTGAGGTGTGCTCGGTTTCCTCTAGAAACTATTTACTTGTTTATGTCCAAATGTATCAGAGCAATATTTGTTAGGCTACTCATGCTAGGGACTATTTGAAGAGAGGCAGAAAATATTCAAGACTCTTAGATGGATGATCATGAAATTCAGATGAGATTCATAATGAAATCACGTAATATATTTGGATGCATTCATAACAGATATCAGAGTCTGCACTGCAGTAGTACTATTTTGATTTAAACTGCAAAGCTCTCAGTAACTCCAAACCTTTCTTATTCCCTCTGCCTAAGTGTATTTTAGCAGTGATCACAACTACTGTTGCAACAAAATAGAGTATTAGTGTCTTTGACCCTTAAAATGGATCAGCTGGTATTTCCCATATCTTATCTAAAAAAATCCTCTGCATTGAGTTACATTGCTCCTCCAGCAGAAATCACCATTTGTTTATTTTCATACTTAATAAATATACCCATACCTTCAGTGGCATAGCAGTTCACTTTTTAACTGTTAAAATGCATTTATAAATGACATTTCTTAATTTGTAAATAAAATTCTTTCAGCACTATATGTGAACTTTTTTTCCCAACTGAAATTCTGCGTTATACTTCCAGAAAAATATTTCAGCAGCAGCTATTACACTTCATAGGTCTCAGAGTGTTAAGATTCTCTAATTCAACATTGTGGTTTTTTTTTTTTTCATTAAAACAACTTTGTTGAACTTCCATATCTGTGGTATACTGACAGTTGGAACACTTGTTGAAGACACATGAGAACTGGAGTCACTGATTTTCATCCTACATGACTTCATATTTAGCAGACACAGAACTTAGGCACTCTCTGTCCCACACAGCCAGTACTCGGATCTCTTCAGTTACAGCAGGCTCAAATTTACTCTCTCTCATACCTGGTTTGATATGTTTTCTACACCACATTTCCTATCGTGATCAAAAGATCACAGAAGGACAGAATTCAACTTTAAAATAGCCTTCACTAACATAAAAAAGAAAAAAAAAAACAAGGATATAAAAATATATATATAAAAATATATGCAAGGAAGAACAATCACTTGCATGGAAGAAGAAAAATTTTTCATCACCCTTTGTTAAGGAAAGGAAACAGGTAGGTAGCAGTGAGGATTGACAGCAAAATATTGGCATCAATATCTTGTGGCTGCAATAAAGGCAAGCATATGTTTTGACTGCTCTCCTTTGGATTCTTCCCTACTGATTTGTTTTTTATCACTCTCACAAAACAGTGCCCAAAAATAAACAGTTCTTCAGCTGGTTAGTACAGGAGATTCCTTAAATACTGATGAATATGAGAGAGGAATAATTTCATGCCCATGAAATAATCCATCACCAGCACAGCATTTAATACATCCCAGTATGCTGTTTCCTTTTATACAGTATTATGTCAGCTTGATTCATGGCCACACTACACAGAAGACTTAATGAACTGAAACAACTCATGAGAAATGCAAAAATAATTAGAAGTGATCAGGGATCTGCAAAATAGGACCTATAACTAATTCTGCATGAATTTGGGTTGCTTAGTTAAAAGACAGAATACAAGAGGACATAATGACAGTTTTAAGTACTTCAAAACCTATTGCAAAGACAAATGGAGCAGTCAGATGAGAAAATAATTCAGAAATCTTCTTTTAACATATTCCAAATACAAGGAAACTGAAGTCCTTGAACAGATTGCTGGTACAGATTACAGACATCCATAGCTAAGGGATTACAGAGAAAAATGAACATTCATCTGTCCAAATGGTACAGGTACTAATCCTCTCACAGGGAAAAATCCCAGAAAAGTGAATTTCTATCAGATCTATTTGTCTCTAATGCCAGTAATTCAGAATTCTGTCACATATTGCGTATGAACCTCTGCATCCAGGAGAAAGCCTGACTGCCTCTAGGAGGACACCTGCACTAAACAACTTACAACTGCCATAGGAGAAATGAAAAATTACTATTAAGACCAGAAGGAGTTTATCATTTAGGAGCCTTAACACAGGATGAGTGACATTTACAATAAAATTCATTAACAATCATAATTCTTCTAGCACTTAATCTGAAACTCTAAGAACTGTACCTTTGTCTTTCACAAGAAGATAATACCAGGTTTAAGGGGCTTTGAGAACACAAATACAGGCTCTTCAATGGGCCAATACAAATGGATAAGGACAACAGATACATAGTGAGAGCAGTAACACAGCTCTGGAATGCCGAAAATTAATCATTTCCTTAGCACTGTGAGCATACAAAAATCCATTCAGTAAAACAAAAAGCAGATACAAGACAGAGATTAACAGTAACTTTCTAAAATTAGTTATATGGAGCTCCCTTACAGCGTATGTTTTTTCTTGTAAATATACACTGAGCTTTCTAAGCTTTTACACCTACTGACAGTTTCACAGTTGCCGAGACAAAAATCCTTAACCATAATACTCTTTCCCTTAAGAAGTTCTGATGATAATAAAGTCCTTAAACAGATTGTTTGGACAAGCTAGGGTTTTCCAGTACTAAAAGGGCAAGTTGTTCTATAAAGAAGTCAGAAGAACCATCTGTAAAAATGCTATGATGGACAAAATAGTACAGATTTGTCTCACAGTAGTTGAAGACTGTAGATCAGGAGACATAGAGGAGTAGATAATTTTACCATCACAGGTAGGAAAGGACCTTGAGAGGTTTGATGGGGGGTTGGAACTAGATGATCTTAAAGTCCTTTCCAACCCTAACTATTATATGATTCTATGATGCCCAACCTCAAAGCAAGGCAAATATGCAATCTGCCCAGGCTTAAAGCCTCTTAGGATGGAGTGCTCAACTCTGCTGAGCAACCAGTTCCACAGCTTGACTATCCTCAGAAGAAAAAGCTTGTTTTTATACAATTTCAAGTTCTGCTTGCTGTCTCTCATCCATTCATGCACCACTGTGAAAAGCCTGGCTTCATCTTCTTGATATCCTTGATGACATGGAAAGGCTGCCTTTAGGTCCTGCCGAAGCCATCTCTGGGCTGAACAAGACAAGCTCCCTTCACAGGGCAAGTACTCCCAGCCCCAGTCTCAGCCAGCTTGGTGTCTCCGCAATGAACTTGCTGCAACCCATCAATGTCTTTTTTGTACTGAGGGAACCAAAACTGCATGGAATTCTAGATACAGTCTAGTGAGTGCTGAGCAGAGAGGGATAATCCCTTCCCTTGATCTCCTGGTTGTGCTCCTCCTAATACAGCCCTGGATGCTGTTGCCTTCTCTGTTGCCAGAGCTCACTGGTGGCTTAAGTGCAACTCGCCATCACCAGGACTCCCAGGGCCTCTTCAGCACATCTGCTCGCCACATAGGCTGGCCCCAGCCTGTATCATTGCCAGGGCTCTTCCTTCCCAAGTACAGGACTTGGCATTTGACGTTATTGAATTTAGTGAGTTTAGTTCATTAATTTCCTGAATTTCCTAGCAGCCCATTTTTAGCCTGCCTAGATCTCTGTCAGTGGTGTACTGACTGCACCCTCCAATTTGGTGTCATCAGCAAATTTGGCAATCAAGTTACCTGTGACCTCCTCCAGGTTGCTGACAGAGATGTTAAAGAGGACAGGTCACAGGATAGACCCCTGAAGGGCACTACTTGCCACAGGAATCTATGTAGAGGACAACCCATTAACCACTAGCCTCATCCTGCAGTTGTCTACCACCCACTTAAATGAAAGCTAAAGCAATAAAGTAGCAGATGGGAATATTTTTTTCCTTATGTCAAAATATGAATAAAACCAAAAATAAGGCTAATAACAAAACTGACTTTTTTTGTTTCTTTATAAACAAACAAAATGTGTTATCTTCATGTAAATACACACTGAACATGGTAATCTAAAAAAAAAAAATAGGATAATCAGGAAAAAGTCATATTATCACTGTTTATAGTCACTACATCCATTATAGTAAACACCTCTGAAGATGATAGAAATGGTTTGGACGAGGTCAGTACTTTGCATCAGGCACCCTTCTGCTCTAAAGTACTGCTCACCATCACCAGTACCAGGACCACTGTCCAACTGCCATTTACAGAAGGATGCAGCAATGCCATTGCATTAGGCCTGGCCATGATACAAATATATCCACCAGGTCCAGCAGTCCTGCTTACCCCATCACAGAACCCAAGGGCCAGGACCATGATGGATACACCTACAGCTACAGCAGGGGCCACAACCCCCATTTCCCACCCTCCACATGCACACAGACATGTAGCCCACCACCAGCTGCTTCCACCTCTTTCCCCAACAAGGAGAACTGCAGTGGGAGCAGCAGCACGAGCACCTCACTGCACTGTTGCAGCTGATGAATCTTGTTGCTGCCTCAGTGGTCCAGTCCTTCAGCTTTCACCTGTGTCTGAAGGGAAATATTTTAAAGTAGCTTGAAGAGAATTATTTAAAATTAAAGTAAAACCAAGGCAAGTCTGAATTTCATTCTAGGTCGAAAGCAGCTGCCAATGTTAATTTTTAACAGCGGATTATTTTCCATATTACAAAATCAACACTAGTACCCCTTTTAATCTAGAGTAATATACAGCAAAATTGATTTAATAGCTGCCTAGCTTTTAAGATGCATTTGGAAAATATGCATCATTTGGAACATATGCATCTTCTTTCAGCTCCTATGTAAAACAAGCAAACCCTCAAGCCAAACCGACCAAAAATGAAGGAAAATAAAACCATCTGAGTTGTAGCCTCAGTAAGCAGTTACTAGGAGTCCTTACCTTACTGTTTCTTACACACTCTTGAGCATTTAAAGACTGACATTGCATTGTGCATTTTTATTAGAGCTGTAACCCCGTTTCATAGTGTTCACAATCACTGTTCTCAGTGAAGATCAAAAATTACTGATAACCCACATTAAGGAGGTGATTCACATTCACAACAAAGCCAGTGGAATGTACCTGATGGACATCACTGATTCCAGAGTAGATCAATTAAGACTAAAGACACTGGCTTTCAATATATTGTAGATTTTCAATGCAGTATATGGCAAGAATCAGCATCAGAAATAAACATAGTCAATAACATATATTTAAGAAACATTTGAACACATTTTTCCTAAAAACACAGATTATATCTGAAATATGCACCTTGGAAATTGTTGTTTTCATAAAGATTGTTGCCACTTTTTTTACATCTGCATTTATTAATGACAATATTTTGGATTGACATTTCACTACATATAGTTCTAAAAGGTATATTGTCATTACAAGATTTCAGAATATTTTAACTGCAGTGCAACAGTATCACTTTCTACCAATTCAGAACAGAGTTCTTCCTAAATTTTTATGTGGCGTATACAAATCTACAAGCAAGAATATTAAGTCATGATAATAGAAGGTTGAAAAGTTGCTCTCAAAATACAAAATTTGGAACTATTTTGTTGCTTACATCGCAGCCAATCCATGAAAAGATCTGATTGTAGATTGTTGGGATTTTCTGTTAATGACATTAGCCTTGCAACAAAAGTGATTAACAGCTGGCTCTCAATCTGTGTGATCTCAATCATTAGAAAGTAAGTAGCAATGTCTTAATTACTGCAAGCTCAGTGTGTCATGAGCTAATTAGATATGATTGATTATTGTCATCCTCATGCACCGCTCAAAACAGACACAAATATTTGAATCCTGTAACACGTCTGGAAATGAACTTTCAGGATATCACACTGAATAAAAATTGCCTCCTTAAAAACAGTCATATATGTTAGAATACAGATTCTATCCCAGAAAACAGCCAAGGCACTAACAGAACAATTGTCTAGTTTTACTTTAATTTAGGTAATATCTTTAAGTAAACAGCCTAAGAAAATAAAGCCTAAGAATATAAAGATGCTCCTGTGTTTACAGCAGGTTCAGAGCAGTTAAACAAGAAATCATAAATTCCACACTTCAAACTAAACCACAACAACAGACAAAAAAGACCATGAGAACATTCTCTCTGGAAGTCTAGGTGAAAAAAAAACACACACAAAAAAAAAAAACACAAAAAACCAAACCAAAAACCAAACAACCAAACAAAAACTAAGAAAAAAAAAAACAAAACCAGTAAGACCACCAAAACCTCTGCCCCCAGCTTCCCAATTTTTGCTTACATCTGTACTTACTGATTTTACAGGATGGTTGTTCAGATAAACCCAGAAGACTTGGTTATTCTCTGCCAATTCCACTACTTTTTCTAGAGGTCTAGAGGCATACAAGTTCAATCTGGTTTTATTTCTCATCTTATAGAATCAGAGATTGGTTTGGGTTTGAATGGAACGTAAAGATGAATGACCAAGTAAGACATAAACAGGCAGGATGATGGTAAATTTCTAAGACGGTACACTTCAGATGTCAATCTCATATTCAAAAGCAAAAAGCAAAGCACCAGCTAGACAGACAGGTAGAGAAGAGCCTTCTTTATAGGCTGATTGCATGCCATGGCATGCCATGGAAAAAGATAAAACAGGTTGTTTACACCTCAATTTCAAAACCAAATTGTCCTTTAACAAAAATGCATTTATGACAAAAACCTACAGTTACATTCTGTTCTTAAGGGAGAATCCGTAGGAATAATGTCAATAGAATTAACAGACAGATCCAAGATCTTAAACAGGTATCCTTCATAAAGAGGAAGATTATAAAGAACATATCAGAAAAGACACAGGAAGTTTGGGAAGAACTGAAGGTTATCTGGAATATCCAGTAACTGAAGAAAAAATGCAGGTTATGTAAGTATTGAAACTCAAATGATTTCTCCAAATTAGGCTTCTTCAAAGATTCCTTAAGATGAATGACATGTATTCTAAACCACTCTTCAAAGGCAATAAAAACATATAATTAGAGGTGTCAAGTGGAGATGTATGTTCATCCCTAATATTGAAAATAATAAATGCTCTGGGAAGAATAAATGTCTGTAACTCAAATAAAATTCTATTTTCAAAGCATGCACCATCTAGTCTCATGAGCATCAAGATAAACAAGATGATTAGTGCTAAAAAAGAAATAAAAATGTATTCTGGAACTGGTGCTAAGTTTGATTTTGGCAGTTACATCTGAAACTTACTTCATATCTTGCTCAGCCTCAAGATTTTGTTGATCGACCACCAGTGCAAGCAACCGACCGTGATACAGAACCAATGTAACCATTTGGCTTACGCCCATAGAGGTACATTTACGCATCTGGACCTATAAGCCAAAGATCACCAAATTAGCTTTGACTGGATACCTAAGTCAGCACAGTACATTAGGGACTGTGCAGTCATTCTGCTGGGCCTGCAAGCAAGACAGCACGAAGAAAGACAACAAAGGGAGAAGTATATCAGCTTTACTAAAAACATATTGAAACAGCAGTGAGTTAGGCAAAAAGAGAGGTCCTGCACAAAGGAAAGCAAGAATCAGTGCTTAGCAGGGAAGAGCATTAAACATAAGTCAGCTAGCCAAATGGCTCAAGAACTTTTAACTCCAAGATTTTAGAAAATATTAAGTTAACTCTTCCTGTCAGAGAAAGGCATTCACCAGAACAGTATGAGCAGGACAAGCGAGGAAACTTGCATTATTGAGAAACAGCAGGGAGAAAAGGGGAGAAAAGTACTGAAGAGATTTACTTTAAGTTCAAAAAATAGCAGCAAAGAACTAAACCAGTCAGAAACTGACAAAAAACTAGAGCTAGATGGAGAGAAAGCAGATATTTTAACTGTTCCTTTCCTGACAACGTCATGAAGTCATACCCATACTGTAGTGAAACCATGAGCAGATTATCCTAGTTCTATTTCACAGTGTAAATGTCAAAAGAGTTAATGGCCATGTGTGCACAAGTATTTCAGTGATGGGGCAGTGTGAATACAAAATCCTGTGTTGTGTATATTTGAAGCATATTTATGAAAAGCCTGTATTGGAAAAGGTATATGATCTTAAGCACACTATCAACAGTTTCATATTTTTATGCAAGTAATAAAAGTCCGATTTTCAGGTCAAGAGACAAGACAGTTTGCGAAGGAAAACAGGAAAGTAAAAGTATGGATGTGGAAAGACAAGGGAATGGTTCTTATCATAACACAGTGCTAAAGTAGAGGAAAAGACAACTAAAATTAGAACAGAAAAAAGGTAAGAAGAATTTAACTGTAATAATGGGGAAAAAAAAAAGAAAAGGAATACTGAGGAGGAAATGAAAAAAGTCAGTGTTTAAAAATCACATGTTTAAGAGTAGCTGCTGATGGACAAACACATCGATCTTTGGCAAGGAACAATCACCACAGGTTACTAGTCCATAGATAAATTTGACATATTAACTCTGGTCAGAGTATTAAAATCTGTGTGAAAAATGGAAACAAAATTTTAAAAAGGTGTACTTAGCAAAAGTGCTATCCAAACCAATTAAAAGCACAGCTAAATAACAAGCTCAGAAAACACAGCCTGTGGTAACGAGGATCCTGCCTAAGTTTACCACTGCTTCTCTCAGTCATCAGGCTCACTGGGATGACCATTAAAGTGTGCCATCACTTCTGCAACATCCTTCTTGACACATGCCAGCAAACAGATGGACCAACCACCATAAGAATCACTGTTACAGCTGATTGTCAGCTATCTAACCTCACTTAACCTTTGGAACTATACTATTTACATGCATGTTATATATCCTTTTTTTATGTACTGTCATACTTTCTATTACCCCTATTCTGCACAGTAGAAAAACAATGTACTTTTTTATGCTAACATTAACAGGAAAAACAGTGCGAATATTACCATTTCATTTTTTCTGTAAACATCTATTTCTGTTTTGACTCACTGTTTTCAGACCTAACTATTCTTACAACTGAAAACTTACTGTGTTGTGGGTTTTGTTTTTTTTTTTGTCAACCCCTTTGCACATAAAGCATTTCATGTAAAGGTTTTCTGGTTTGCATATAAGGATTTTTTTATTAGAAGGGGCAATACAGGGAACCTCCCCTGTTCCTGCTTAAGTTTTCTTCATTTCATAAACTTCAAAGACTTACTTTAGCCTTTGTTACCCTCCTTTGATTTCTATGCTACAGGGATACACCTTATTTGTATTCAGATGATTCACACTGATGTTAATGGGCCATTAAAAATCCTAGGAGTAATCTTCAATAATCTCTCTCTTTCCCTTGTACCTGAAACTGAGCTATATCTTTCCTCTTATAAAAGAGAAACAACATTCTAGCGCAAATACTCAAAAAATA